AGGGGCTGGGGGAGGATCCCTTCCCTGCGTGGCTGTCCATGAAATGCATGAGTTTGTGTTCCTGGGGAGCAGGGCAGGTGCCCCCACCCCTGCCTGCAGCTGCCCAGGGCCTGTCAGTGCCCTGGGCTCAGCCCTTCCTGCCTCTGCTTTCTCAAGTCCAGGGAAACCAAAATGTGTTCTCTTCAGGAGAACCCTCAGTCTTCCCTCTGTTCCCAATTCCTCTGGTGGCAGTTCCCAGCAGTCCCTGCCTGCTGGGTGTTTCCTCCAGGGCTGATGATGCAGTTTCCTTCTTCCTTGTGCTCACCTGGTTCAATAAAGTGTCACCACCTTTGCCCCCCTCCCCCCCAGGCCCTTTCTGTTCGTTTTTAACTCTTTATTGAAAATAAGTTGCAGTTGGTACACGGACACTGAAAATACATCAGCACAGGTTGTTCTCTCAAAAGATATTTTCATATATATAATATATACAAAAGTTGTAAACATTTTAAACTTATTTCCATACACAGTCCACTCTATACTACAATGCACAGAAGATGAGTGACAGCTGCAAGTCGTTGAAGCGGCCTGCTCAGACAGAGGTATCTGCAAAGAAAGGGAGATCTGCAAACCACATTTGGTATCAGTTTGATGTTCAAACTCTGAGAGAATCTGAGGTTTAAATGCATATTGCAACAAAACACAGCTGAGCTCGGGCTTCAAGTTGATACAGTGAAGGCTGGTTCTGAGCCTCACTGGTTGGGGGGGGAGAGGGTCTTCTGCCACACATGGCTCCACCAGGTGACCTAGGAAAGGACTGGGAATAAAGCAGGACTGGGAGCTGGACCCATCCACTCTCCTCACCACTCTTCAGGAGAACAATGGCTGAAAGGGAGTCTGCACATCCACAGAGCAGCTTTTATAGGGAGAAATACTGATCCCACAGAAGTAATGACCAGACAATGACCATGGGTTTGTTTTGCTGCCCTCACAGCTGCAGCAGCAGGACCAGGGAAGAGGAAGGCAGGAATCACCCTGTCACGCTGCTCAACAGAAGTTGAAGTGCAATGCCCTGGTTGTCACCTACTGCTGAACTACAGGCTGAGGGGAAACTCCCCCCACAGAATGACCAGGCAGGCCAGCCAGTGAAACCCCAACTGCTTGTAGAGGCAACTTCAGGGGAGGCTCTGCCTGAGATACAGAAGCACCTCATGGGGGGAGATCTTGTCCCCAAGTATCAGTTAAGCAAAACTCCCACCTTGCTAGAAATGGCTTAAAATACTGGGGGTAAAAATCCAATTCTATCTAATCTTTTAATATGCTTAAAATAAATATGCAAAACCCATCGTGGCTAACTCCAGTGCTGAGAAGTATCTATGTGTGGCAGCAGAGCCTCCTGGAGCAAGATGAGGGGGCCAAACACATCTCTAGGGAAGGTCCAGGATTGTTTGAACTCTGTTCTTTACACCCAAATTCAGGGCTAACACTACACAGCAGCTTTGGTCAGGCTGCCATGGCCCGGCCCTCCACGAGCTCCTGGGCTTCTGCCACTTCTGGGAGAATGGGGGGGGTTTATTCAGCAGCTTGTGAGGCTGGCGTGGGGCAGGGGCTGGCATAGCACAACCTCACAGCACAGTCCTGGCGTGGGACGTGGGCTGGGGGGGCAGAGGGAAAGCTGCTGGTGCTGCTGCACCACGGGGGGATGCACAGGGAGAAAACAAGAGGGAGAAAGAAGTAGAAAGGAGGATGTCAGGAATACTTGAACCTCAAGGAATATCCCACAGTTACAACATTGATGGATCTAATTCTCTAACCATACACCTGCAGGTTGTGTCTCTTTCCAGTCCATCCCAGTGCACCCCAGTCTGCCTGACAAGGCACAGCACACTGAGGGGCTACAACAGCCTGGCATGGGCACTGCTGGCACTGAGGGCAAGGGGGGGTTGGTGGGCTTGCAAAGACAGGATTCCCTATGAGGGGAAGGAGGTGGCAGCACCCACTGGGCTGAGGGCAGCACCCTGCCCAGCCCACGAGCACATCTGAATTCCACGGAGCCTCACGGACGGCCAGGAGCCCCACGAGCACTCGGCAACAGCCTCACTAACAAACCAGGCAATGTTTTTTGTTCAGGTGGGCAAACCCTCTTGCCAGGGCGTGTGTGTGTGTGTCTGTCCTGGGCGTTGGTGACAGCTGGTCCCCTCCTGCCTGGCTGGCATAGCCTCTGCGGGCAACCAGGAACAGGAACTCATGGTTATTGCCTGGACAAGCCGTTCTGCGGTGGCTGCTGGCCTGGCTGCCTCCAGAGCCCATCCTTCCCAGTGCCACCTGCTGGGAATGACATTTTTGGTGGCAGAGGGAACAGGGTTAAGCTTCTCTGAGGTGCCTGTTGGTGAGGTTGGATATGTTACTCCCAGCTCCGGCTTAATCAAGGAACAATCTGTCCTGCTTTCCTGATGCCAGGAAGCCTCTCGGGGGCGCAAGCCCCTTCCACCTCCTCCTCTCCTGCCCAGCAGAACACAGCTCACGGTGCCACCTGCCAGCAAAGGGTAACACTGACTTTTGGGGAGCTGTAAAAAGACCTGGAGAAGAGCAGTGGTGCCTCCCCGGGGCCGACGTGGCACTGCAGTTGTCCCCCGTGTCACCGTTGCTGCTCTGAGGGTCAGGCAGGGCTGGGGTGTGCGTGTCCCCTCCGTGTCCCTCTGCTGGCAGGGGAGGTGGGCAGGAAAGAAAGGCAAGGCAGGCCTTGGTGAGCAGGGTCAGGGCTGTAATATTGCACAGGGTTACACCGGGGGACACGTCCCACATCGGACAGAGCTTTAGGCCTTTACGGTTACAAGGAAACTCTGGAACAGTTATATAGTTAGAAAAAATACAAGGTACTGAACGAACATTATCTCACATACAATCAATTTAAACATTTAAATTGATTATAATTTTGCTAAAATATTATTAACACAAGTACTGTTTGTGCTGCTAAAATCTCAGTGTTCCCTCTAAGGAAAATATTGCTACAGTTCTACCTTCCCTGCATTCAAATCCATTGCCTTTTCTTTTTTTCTAACCCAGCAAGACTGACTCTAGAAAAAGGGCCACATAATTAAATCAGGCTTGTACCCTACTGGGGGTTGGGTGTCCCTGGTCTACTTCATGCAAGGATGTCCCACTGCTTGCTGAGCTCTGCTGGCATGGGCCACCCCCAGGTGTCCCTGGGTCACCCTCTTCCTTGCTCCTTGCAGCAGCTGAGCGAGTGACAGCTCAGATGAAGCTGTGCAGTGTCCTGCTGCTCCTCCTCCTGCCTCCACCACGGGCAGGGGGGCAGGCAGTGGGGTTGGGGGGTACCTGCCCCATTGTGTTGGACTTCAAAGTTTCTGCAAAGGTGTCCAGAAGGAGACACATCCAGAGGGAGTGCGAGGAGCTCAGCACCAGCAAGGGCAACCCCTCGCTGCAAGAGTCACTTGGAAGCAGGGGATTCAAGTAACACTTTGTCCCTGACAGTGACCACTCGTGGTGAGATGAGCTGCTCATTAATTAATGCATTTATTTGCAATTTAGCAGCAGGGGTGAGCTGTGTTAATGAGGACCGAACAACTGCAGGATGGTTTTGCTACAAGGAGAGCTGGGGCAGCCTGGTAACTATTGCTTGTCACAAGGTGAGGAGAACTTGGTCAGTGTAAACCAACAAGATGAAAGCCCAGCTCCTGGCTGCAGAGAGCCTGGAATGCTGGAGGTCTCCGAGGATGGAGCTGCCACCAGGGTGGTCAGGAATTCAAGTTTCAGCTCCTCTGCTCAGTCCTCAGTGACAAAGAGCCCAGCTCAGCTGCCACACAGGGAGACGGGCAGGGGAAGCAGGCAGGTTCTTGACAAGGATGTATTGGGTTTTGCAGATTGAGCTGGTTTTTACCAAGCAGGAGTTTTGCAGCTGAAAGCCCCAGCTGAGCCTCTTCCCTGGGAGCTTTTCACTCACCCTCTGCTCCCACTATTTGCAAACATGGGGCCATGAGTCCTCATGTGATAGACTTCAACGGCCCATGGAGTCTTTCCACTTCTGCATCTGAATTCCTCAGGTGAAATGTCTGCTCCCCCCTGAGGTTCTGCTGCCAACAGATGGTGGCTGCTCCCAGTGTAAAAATATCAGCTCAACGCTGCTCCTAATGGACTTGGAGCTGCTGAGATTCCCACTGCTTTGATCTTGGCAGCTCTGGGTTTGAGTGTGAGGAACTGCTCAGCGGTGCCAGAGACAATCTGTACATCTGCAAACTCTCCCAACCCCCTGGTGAAGAAGTGGAACTGCAACACACTCTGTTTTGCACTGATCACGGTCTAGTCCTAATTAGCAGCCAACTATTGCTGAACTGCTTTCCAGCTTCAAACAGTAACTTTTTACATCCTCAACCCTGTTGAAGCATAGAAGCAATTTGGACACTCAGCATAGCCCTAACCTGCTGTGCCCCCCCATGTCACTTGCATCCTAAGCTAGGTTTGAAACACCTGTCTTTTTGTACAGTAAATATATAAAAGTAACACAGACCCCACTTATTTCTTTGTGAATTTGGCACTTTCCAGGGAACGTGGACAGCAAAGCTCTGCAGTGGGAGCAGCACGGGGGACGCCTCCCACCCACCCTCACCAACCCAAGACTGATTCTGTGTTAGCTCTGGAAGAACGAGATAAATAACAACAACTCAGCTACTGTGTTTTCTAACAGGAAAGGGTATTTTGGGCTTTGCCAGCTGCTCAGCAGAGCCCAGTGTCAAGCCTCAGAGAGGACATTTGTTCACCTTTTGCCACGTGTCGGTGACGTGGTAGCAACCTTCCTTCCTTCCTACCTACCTTCCTTCTGACTTAGAGGGAACACTGCTTTTAGGAAACCCTTGGACAGGTAAGACAAGAACCAATACCACCGTACAGAATTCACTGCACAACTAGCTAATAGTAAGGGACCCAGCACTGACTTGCCACATGAAGGAAATGGGACTGAATACATTTGCAATCAACCGGTCCCGGGCGCCGTGAGCCCCGGCCCCTCAGTAGGCTGGCACTTGGTAACCTTTGGGGTTGGCCTCGGAGGTCTCGCTGAAGGGGGGGCTCTGGTAGGTCTCTGTGCTCTCGATGCCGCTGCCCGCGGGGTACCCGGGGTAGGCGGTGCCGGGCTCGGCCGGGAACTGGTCGGTGGCAAAGAGCGACATGTCGGTCCCCAGGCGGTACCTCTGCAGGGCCCGCCCCGCCAGTGCCACCTGCGTGGAGGGAGGAGGGTTGGGGGAGTGGGAAGGACCCCGCGTCCCCCCCGCACCCCCCGGGACTCTGCATCCCATACCAGGACCCCACATCTCCCAGGACTCCCATGTCCTCCCAGGACCCCACGTGCCCCACAACCCCATGTCCTTGCAGGACCCTGCATCCCACCCGGCTCACTGCAAAGCCCTGAGTGTCTGGGAGGGGGACACAGGGTTCCGACACCCCCATCTGGGGGTCAGGACCCCCCAAGCATCCTTGGCTCTGCTCCAGTATAGCTGAGAGCCAAACCAACCCCAAACCACAGCCCCTGCTGCTAAGGAAGCCGTTTCTATGTGGCAGGTTGGTCTCTCCAGAGCTCTGCCAGGGGTGGGGGTTGCAGCCTGGGCTCGGGTCCCTGGCCATGCAGATTTGGCACCAACAAGCCCATCTGCTGCAGGCAGGGACAGCTGCTGAGCCCTGGGCCAGCAAAATAGGTCAGTTCTGCTGAGACTCCTTCACCCCTGCCAGGCTGCCAGCATCCAGGACACAAAGGGTGGGGAATGCGGGCAGCAGCACCACGCTTGCTCTTATTTCAGGAGGTTTCATTAACGATTCAATTAGTTTAGACGTGACAGGCTGAGTGGGGGGAAGGAAAACGCCCTCAGACACCCAGAGTGGCTCCCCCACCATGGGCTGAGTGACCGAGCAGCAGGATGTATTAATGGTGGCAGTGGAGGTGCTGCTGGTGCCACCCAGCAGCCTGGCCACCCTCCCTGCTGGTGGCAGGAGACCAGTGCCCCCACTGCCCTCCCGGGGTGGGAGCAGATGCCAACGGATGGGGGAGAGCATCCCAGCCAGCCTTCCCAGCAGCAGCCTGGAACACAGCGAGGGAGAAGAGCTGTGGGGGAGCTGGGATTAAAAGAGATTCATTTGGGTAATAACAGAGCGGGGAGCAGTTAAACTGGTGAGCAAACGGAGCCAGGCTGGAGCTGGAAAGCCTCAGACTGTCTTTTGCCCCAGTTCCTTCAAGGCAATATGGAATTAGTGCCTGTCTTGGGCACTCTCTGCCCAGGAAAAGCCAGAGGGGATGTGCTGGTGGGGCAGGGGCCATCCCCGCTCCTCTCTCCACAGGC